ACTGCTCACAAACTCCACAGTCCAGACTTCCTCTCTCCCCACTTCTCACAGGGCCTTGGATGGTGGGTTTCAGCTGTCCCTATCATGTACAAGCTGGGTAAGTTGGACTGGATTCAGTCCACCTGTTGTGTAGACAGAGGCCTTCTGTGGCAACATACATTTCCTTAGGCTCTGCCAACTCTGTAGTGATATGCAAGTGACTTAGGTTCAGGATAATAGCTCTTATTAGTTGTATGGCATCTGCTGTCGTTAACAACTGGACTGCAGTTCTGGCATTAACTTACTCTTTTCCTGCAGAAGAATGTCAACATTGGCATTCACAGGACAAGTCAAGCAATAATGTGAGAATTTTGGATTAGGAAAGGTCTTTGAAAGGGTTTTTTTAAATCTTTAAAAGGATCTTTTTAAAAAGATAGAAATACCAAATCCATTAATTTAAGAAGACGTGTGTTTTCTTTTTCTTATAGAAATAGAGCACTTTTAATTTAGACTTCATGGTTGTAAAGCCTTCAAGGTTGACACTGACCTTGGACCCTTTTAGCTGTTTTAATTTACATTTACTAGCCCTTTTCCTTTAATTAATAGAAGGGCATCTACCAAGATGTTGAAGGTGCAAAAGTAAAGAAGACCACCTCAGTCCTGTATAATATTTTCCTACTTCAATACAGCAATAATTAGCCAAGCACACCATAATTTAAGAGCATTTTATTTATTCTGCCTTATGTGACTTTTCTTGTTTTCTATGTGATGCTGTGCACCTCCATGCATATGATAATGATGACAATGGTAAAGAAACAGCAGCTCTATTCAGAAACAGATTTGCAGTTAAAAAAAAACTTTTATGAAAAATTCTTGAGTCAATGCTTAAGGATTTTTTTGTAATAAATTAACTTTTGTTATGTCTACTAACTTTCACTCCAATATTCCCTCATCTTCTACTGCATTTACATTTATGGATTGACAGCTAATAGTTTAAACTGGTCATTTTGTGTGAAAAAAAAATACAGTAAGTTTAATATAACCCTTTACCTCCCACATTTGTGGACCTGGTGATTTTTTTTTTTTTTAAGCCAAGTGATCTGCCTATCCCAGTGTCAAGGTGAAATACAAATTCTTATAAAAGTGAAACTGGGCTGGTGGGAGCATCTTGCTGGTGTAAGCAAAATCAAAACCACTTGTCTTTGCCAAAATGTTTTATCTAATGGGACATTTCTTAAAAAAAAAAAAAAAGTGAACCACGAACAACCTTATGGTGATGAAAACCCTCTCCCTTGTTAGAAAGCACAGAGGAGGTGGCGGATCTGGCCATCAGAGAACAAAGGGCCAAAGAGTAAACCTGAGATGCTGAAATAAAATGTAACATCAACAAAGAAAAGGCCATAGATAAATAGTAAAAGGACCAACTTGCCACAAAAAACCCATTGACGTTTTCCCAGAGTCCAGGCGAAGCGCTGGTGACCGGGTAATGTTGGAATGTTTTCCTAGGGTTAAAAGGAGAACCGGCAGCAAGTCTGTTCAGAATTTACAAAGTGTTTGAATAACACGGACAGTGTTTTGATAACACATTTTTAGCGGGGGTGAAAAATAATAGAATTTATTGGGACATTTATATGGGCCCCCTTGGTTGTATGTGGGGGGTGGGAGGTAAACTATATATCATTGCGCTCATCTACAACTCACCCCTTAATTTATTCAAACACCATGTAATTTATACGTACTCGTCATATGTGTTTGATGAATAATAGTCCTGTAACAGTCAGCTGCTTCTCAATTTTGCTTCTAAAAGATTGAATGCAGTGAAAGTGGTTACCTTTAATGGGGAGAAAGGTGTAAAGGGGGTCCTGGCTGGATTGGCAGTAACTTTGTGTTATCAAGATGAGAACGCTTGAAGTTGGTGTTATCACTTGAGACAATAGAGCACAAGATCTTTAATTGGCCTTGGTTTTGAGGTAGCAGTCAAAGGATTCTGCTTGCTCTACCTCAAGCTGCAAGGTGCAAGATTTGAGTTAATCCAGCCGGCATTTGGGTCTGGGGTTCCAAGGGGTCTCCACGTTTCCTCCCCAATGTTGATGTTTTTGTTCAATGTATTCCAATACACTGTCAGTTGAGCCACATAAAACCAGGCACCTTTCAATAAATGTCTCATTTGGATTTCATGAAGCTTGGTGTAATTGAAATCAAACAGTGACTGGAAGGCTCTGTTATTTGCTCACCCCACCTAAGGAGGGAGCTGCCTGAAATATTCTCTGAAGCTGTAGTTTTCTTTCCTGTTCCTACTTCTGGGAAAGTGCTTGGATTTTAAAGTGTCATGACTGGGACACATGAAAATAATTTTTATGCATCTTTCGAGGGCATAAGTAACATTGAGCTAGCAAAAGGAAAATCCATTCCACGCAGGAAATCAGACTTGTTCATCAGTAACTCTCCTGACATTTAGAATATATATTCCATGTGTGATAATAATAATGTAACTAAATAGTTAATACAGAATCTTTAGATGAGATATCTTTACCTTTATGCAGTCAGAAAAACATCTTTAGTTGAAACACTAGTCTTCGTTATGTTAACAAGGAATTTGTAATTTATAGACAAATGAAATACAAATTATGTGTAAATTTTCCATGTATCAAAACCCGATTTGTAAGCCTAAATTTTTATTCTCTTTGCATTTCTCTTTGTCTCTCCATTTGTAAAATAGGGTAATGTTTGCATAAAATAAAAAATATGGTGGGAAAGGAGAGGTAAAAACTGCAATTTCCAGCCCCAAGAATCAACACTAATAGTGATTACACTTACTGTGTATATATTTAATAATTAGGCAGCACTCGAAGTGAACCCACGCCCTCTCAAGAGCTTGTTCTGGGGCTGGACTAAAGTCAGCCCTTTTCTGATGTGGCACGGGGGACAGCTGGCCCACGTTATTTGCGCCAGAATGGGTCGGAACGATGCCTGTTGCCTGCGATGGCACTTTGCCACGCGCAGCCTTATCCTGGCCACCTCGAAATCAATTTGAAGAGATACCGGGCCGTTTCTCACTGTGATGAAGTGAAAAACTGCCATCTACCACCGGCCACCCTATCTTCAAATGTCGTGAAATTCGATCTCACCCCTACTTTTCCCTCAAACACCCTGCAGTTCTGGTCCAGGATCACGCGGAGGCAGCCGCTGAATCTGAATCAGAACCTACTAGCCCAAGGCTACCTCACCGAGCTGCCCAAGGCTCGCGGCCCCTTCCTGTCCTGGTGCTCACGTTGCCTTCACGAACCATCCACGTTGAAAATCATTTAGTTTTCAAAAGCACATCTTGGAAATGATCATTCTTCAAGACTTCTCTGGATCAAAATAAAATGAGAGCTGGGGAGGAGGGGGTGGGTGGAGGAATGATCAGGTCGGTGAACCAAGCTCACCCCGAACTGAAGAGGTGGGACGACGCGCAAGGAGCGCTGGGTTGGCCCTCAGTGTCCTGAGGGCCAGCTTTCCCCCGGTGGACTCCCAGGTGCATCCAGGACCTAGAAGGCTTCTATGCGGGGGCCCACTTATCTTAACTTGCTCCCTCCTCTAGCTGAGCCTTGACCTGAAAACCTGTGTGAGCTCCAGGTTTGCATTTTCTCGAAAATCTAAGTGCCCCGAAGTGTCCGATTGCATCGAGGACTGCCTCGATGTTGGTGCAGCTGCGGTTCGAACCCAGATTGGAAAGCTTTGAGCCCGCCTCCATATCCACTAACGTGTGCGCGCAACAACCTTTGGTCGCCTCATCTGTTGTGGGCTAAGAGTTTCCCGTGTGATCGAGTTCGGTTGGGGAAGCAGAGTCCCGACATCTCAGCCGGAAAATGCGCTCCCGGAGCGACTACAAGTCGCGTCTATAATTGCTTATTAAGAGCGAATATTCAGGCTTCTCCTTATCCGCAACAAAACGTGCCCTCCTCCCCTTCTCGCCATAATAAAACAATAAAATATGACGGCACCGCCCTTTACTGTCTGAGAAAACGCAGAGGAGAAACAGGCAGCTGGGGCAAAGGGGCTTAATTCAGTATCAAACTGATTATTTCACTAATTATTCTACCTTCTGTGTCGAGCAGCAGAGGAGAGACGCGGGGAATCTTAGCCGCGCGGCTGCTGGGGAACCTTTGTTTCTCCGTGTCAGGCCCAAATGAAGACGAAGGGAGGCGGTGGAGGGGTGGGGGGTGGGAATCTGGGACTCAGGGAAACCTGGCTGTGTGGACCTTAAATTGGGGGAGTAATCGTGATTGTCTCCCGAAAGCAGGCGTGTTGGCGTGGGGTTGAGGGGATTCCCAGTATCCCACCTCGCGAGGGTTTCTGATTCATAAAGTGAGGGTTTCGTGCTCAAGAATGGCAGAGTGCTCTCACTGTCCCCGGAATCCCAAAAGCCCAGCGTGAGGTTACTCTTCACAAACCCTTCTCATTGGATAAAGGATGGAACCGAGCAAAAAAAAAAAAAAAAAAAAAAAAAAAAAAGGTGGTTCCGGTGTTTTGAAGGCCAGGGAGTCCTCCCCCTCTGGAGGAACGTGTTCCCGAAGTTACAGCCCCTAACAAGGAGAGACTTCGCTAGGGCCTCTCTCCAACTCGCCCCAGATCCTCACCCTCAAGGACCCGTGCCTCCTGCAAGCCATCACCTTGCAGTCTTTCTCCCACCTGCTTCTAAATGCTGTTCCTGTTCCCGCATTCCCTGCTTAGAGCTAAAAGATGACTGCTCTGCCAAAAGTGGAACCCGCTATGGAGAACCGCACCCCCACCCCACCCCAGCCCTGTTCCCTTAAACTCCAGAGAAATACAGACAGCAAGATTGATTCTCACAGCAGGACAGAGTCTTAAAAAAATTTTTTTTTTAGACTAAAGGAAAAGAAAGGGACTTGATCCAATTAGTAAATGCCTAATTGAATTAGTGTCACCTCCATCAGCCAATAGGAGGGTCCTGGTGATGTTGGGCCGCGAATCCCCTCCCTGACCGCACATATATAAAGCAGCCAATGACAGCCTGCAAGTTTCCAAGTGGTCAACTTGACGGCTGCCTGGCAGCGAGAAGGGCAGAAAGGCTAGCGCTGGTGGGTGGATGGAGGCAGAGACCTAAGTCCTTTTCTTCCGGGGTGTGAGTGTGGGTGGAGGGTGAGGGTCCAGAGAGGCAAGAAGGACGGTCAAAGAAAAGTAAACTGCTTCTCCGTCAGAGTCCGCCTCCTGCCTTCTGATCCAGCGCGCTTTCCTAGCGGAAAGAAGGCTGGGCTGAGGGCGCGCGACGCCTGAGCGCTCCGCGTCTCCAGGTGGGTAGCTCCTGCACAGGAGGAAGGGGAAGTTACCTTCCCCTCGGAAGAGGGCGCTGGCTCCCCCAGCCAGACTTTATAATAAGGCCGAGGGAGGAGAGGAAGCCGCCAGCTGCGGTCTGCGCTCTGCAAAGCATGCAGTTAGGGGAGCAGCTCTTGGTGAGCTCTGTGAACCTGCCTGGCGCGCACTTCTACCCTCTGGAGAGTGCGCGAGGCGGCGGCGGTGGGAGCGCCGGCCACCTCCCAGGCGCAGCCCCGTCACCGCAGAGGTTGGACTTAGACAAAGGGCCCAAGAAGTTCTCGGGCAGTCTCTCGTGCGAGACAGGGAGCGGGGAATCCTCAGCCGCCAGCGCGGGGGCCCCCGCGGCCATGCTCAGTGACGCGGACGCCGGGGACACCTTTGCCAACGCCGCAGCAGTGGCCAAGCCCGGGCCCCCGGACGGCCGCAAGGGCTCCCCCTGCGGGGAGGAGGAGCTGCCCTCAGCCGCCGCTGCCGCTGCGGCCGCCGCCGCCGCTGCCACCGCGCGCTACTCCATGGACAGTCTGAGTTCGGAGCGCTACTACCTCCAGTCCCCCGGGCCTCAGGCCTCCGAACTGGCCGCGCCTTGCTCGCTCTTCCCGTACCAGGCGGCAGCCGGGGCGCCCCACGGATCTGTGTACCCGACTCCGAACGGGGCGCGCTACCCCTACGGCTCCATGCTGCCCCCCGGCGGCTTCCCTGCGGCTGTGTGCCCACCAGGGAGGGCACAGTTTGGCCCCGGAACCGGCGCGAGTGGTGGTGCGGGTGGCAGCGGCGCCGGGGGAGGCGGCCCGGGCGCCTACCAGTATAGCCAGGGGGCTCCGCTTTATGGGCCTTACCCCGGGGCAGCGACCGCGGGTTCCTGCGGAGGATTGGGGGGCCTGGGGGTTCCTGGTTCCGGCTTCCGTGCCCACGTCTACCTGTGCAACCGGCCGCTGTGGCTCAAATTCCACCGCCACCAAACGGAGATGATCATTACGAAACAGGGCAGGTGAGCGTGGCGCGGAGGGGCTCCGGGGAGCGGGGTTAGGAGGAAACGCGTGGTCCTGGGAACGACCTGGGGTGTCGGAGCTGTGCCCACTCGCTCCGCGACTTCCTAGTCACGTTTTTGCGCGCGCTGTTGAGTGGAGATGCAGCGTCTCCATCCCGGTGTCCCCGGGTTCCCGCACCCTGGTGCATGCAGGATGCCGTTCTGCTTCTTTCCCCATGTCCTTCCCTCCGACCACCCCCGCCTGCATTGAGGAGGGGGAGAAGGCTAAGGTGGAAATGGAAGCTGGATCTTGTCCACAAAGCTGGCTCTATTAGAACCGCCCGCACAGCTCTGCGCGCTGGTCCCTGCAGATGGGCGAGGAGCCGTGGATTAGGGAGAACTCCAGGGTTGGCCTCCCGTGCGCAACAGAGGGGCTCCCGCAGTGTTAGGCGCCAGGGTCTCCACGGGGTGCCCGGGAGAAAGGGGCTTGTGCACCGGCGCGCCGGCGAAGGAGGCTAGTTGGTCCCGGGAGTTGATTGGACCGATCCTGAAGCCAGACCTGGCTGGGGTTCGGGCGTGAGAAAGTTCTGAGAGGCACCCAACGGCCAACAGTGGTTACTCCTGAGCCAGGGAACGATGGGTGCCGGGAGAAGGACGCTCAGAGGGCATCCCCTTACCAACAGAATTTTATTTTTTACAAGAACTACTTAGTGTTGCGCTCTGAAACTTGTATGTATAAAAATGAGTGATTTTAACATCCTAAAAAAAAAATTAATGGTCATTTTCAAGTACCACGGACTTGAATGGGGAGAGGGCGCTGAAGCACGTTGAGTTTAGGAAACATTGCCTTAGGTGCAAATTATTTCAGAACAAAGGGAGATATTCCAAGTGTTGTCAGTTCAAAAATATTTTACATATTAAGGGCCACCTAATCCCCCCGGATTGTGTTCCCTGTAGACTTAAAAAAGCGATATTCCGACCCTACCCCGGTGTCCACAAGCTGGACTGAGTTGGACCTGTTCTGCATCCGAACTTAAATCGCTTATCCTGGTTCTCTATTCCCTTGCGCAGGCGCATGTTTCCTTTCTTGAGCTTCAACATAAACGGACTCAATCCCACCGCCCACTACAACGTGTTCGTAGAGGTGGTGCTGGCAGACCCCAACCACTGGCGCTTCCAGGGGGGCAAGTGGGTGACCTGCGGCAAAGCCGACAATAACATGCAGGGTGAGGAGAGAGGAGGCTTGGGCTGGGAGGAGCGGGTGGGAACCCTTGATTCAGAAGACCCATATTTAAATCTAGCTCATCCCACCCGCAGCCCTCCTTCCTGGGGCCCAGAGACGGCGGTACGAGTTTCTTAGGGAATTGCTAAGTCAGATTTCTTGCCTCCCCTCCCAATAGAACTTTAACATGGCCCTACCCACCCACGGCCCAGCCTTCCTTTTCAGAAATGTCTTATGCTTTCTGGGTGGCAAGGACCCTGGCATTCTAATAGTCACTGGAGAAACCTCTTCCCAGAGTTGAATCTACTTGTAAACTTGGAACCACTAGATGTTGCCCTTCCAGCTTTAGAAGGCCCCAAATTCACCTCCAAAAGACCTCATGTTGGTTGCATTTTAATATTTGAGATTAGTGTTTAGGTGGGTGCCTTGTCCAAGGATGTTCTGGGAAGGGCTATCAGTGGGGTCTGGTTGGTCTCCCTTGACCTTCTTAAGCAACTGGTGATGGGAAGACTTGTGCAGGAGTCTTGCTCTCCACTTTGGCCCTGGGGTGACAGATAACCCTCCCCTACCTCCATTTTAAACAGTCCTATATGCTTGGGTTTTCTGTTTTGTTTCATTTTCTCTTAGGCAACAAAATGTATGTTCACCCAGAGTCTCCCAATACTGGTTCCCACTGGATGAGACAGGAGATTTCCTTTGGGAAATTAAAACTCACCAATAACAAAGGCGCAAATAACAACAATACCCAGGTAGAGTGACAGGAGGGAGTCTTCTGGCTGTCGGGCGCTTTTCTAGTGAGAGTCCATGCGGCTCCATATTTATAATATTTGCGATTGTAACTTGTCTGCTAGTCTGCTTCTCATCTTTATTTTCTTTTCACCTTTCTCATTTTCACTTTCTTTCTAAATTTTGATAGTAGTGAGTTGACTGTTCAGAACAGAAATACTGAAGTCTTTGGGAAAACAAAAGAGAGGTGTGTTTGTCCAACAGGCACCCCCAGCTGTGTTTTAAATTTCGAAAATGGCAATGATAAGATTGAAAATAGCTATAGAAGACGAGCTGCTGGTGGAAGCAAGCAGGCGCCTCAATTCAAAATGCGCTTTATCAAAAGTTTGTGTTGAATCTCTAAGCCACTTTTAGTCTCAGCAACTTCTTTTCTGTACCATTTCCAGATGATAGTTCTACAGTCTTTACACAAGTACCAGCCCCGGCTACACATTGTTGAAGTGACAGAGGATGGCGTGGAGGACTTGAACGAGCCCTCCAAGACTCAAACCTTTACCTTCTCAGAAACACAGTTCATTGCAGTGACTGCCTACCAAAATACCGATGTGAGTGTCCCCAGATACCCCAGGAATCTTTAAAGCTCAGCCTGGTGGGATGAAGAACTCAACCATTATTTTTTCTCCCCTGTCTAGATTACTCAACTAAAGATTGATCATAACCCCTTTGCAAAAGGCTTCAGGGACAACTATGATTCGTAAGTGCAAAGCTTTTATTCATATTTGCAAGGTCATCTTTGAACAGAATATATGTAATCTCATACTTTTCCTGAGAGTACATTCTAGGAAGAGCTTTTTCATGTTGGGGGTTTTCTACCCCCCCCCACCCCCCCCCCTTTTTTTTTTGCCTTGACTAATCTTGCTTTAGAATTTTCACGGAAGGGTTTTGTTAATTTCTAAAGAAATGTTAAGGGCTTAAAATGAAGAGCTTTTTTTAACATTTGAGTAGTGATTTGACATTTTCATAATCTGCATTTATATACCTTCCTTTTCGTTTGATCCATCTTTTTACCCTCTCCGAAGCAGGTATTACTACCTCCCCTCTATTTTTACATAAGAAAAAAAAAAGCCTGAAACGCAGAGGATGTCATTTTCGCAACATCAAGCTTCAAGGGCCCTGCAAATGCCTTGTTAGAGCTGAGTTTCTCACCACTGAGCTTTCTTCCCATCACACGGATGAGAAAGCATTGCTTTGAGTTCAGGTTTTAGGACTTAAAGAAGTAGATTTTCTGTCCTTTAAATAAGTAATGCCTGGCAGGAAACCTTTTTCTTCCAAGGTGGGAAATTTCCCCCTGAGCCAAGAGTTGAGCTAACATGGCCCAGCGAATCTCCCACCGCCTGTATCTGTATCTTTTCTCCAACATATCAGTGCTCCCAATACAGACAACCACCAGCTTCAGAGCCGTTTTCATTTCTGGGAGGTGATTTGTTTGGGGACAACATCGGGTTTTTTTTTTTAAGTGTTTCTTTTTATATTGTAGCATGTACACCGCTTCAGAAAATGACAGGTTAACTCCATCTCCCACGGATTCTCCTAGATCCCATCAGATTGTCCCTGGAGGTCGGTACGGCGTTCAGTCCTTCTTCCCGGAGCCCTTTGTCAACACTTTACCTCAAGCCCGATATTATAATGGCGAGAGAACCGTGCCACAGACCAACGGCCTCCTTTCACCCCAACAGAGCGAAGAGGTGGCCAACCCTCCCCAGCGGTGGCTTGTCACACCTGTCCAGCAGCCTGGGACCAACAAACTAGACATCGGTTCCTATGAGTCTGAATACACTTCCAGCACCTTGCTCCCATATGGTATTAAGTCCTTGCCCCTCCAGACGTCCCATGCCCTGGGGTATTACCCTGACCCAACCTTCCCTGCCATGGCTGGCTGGGGCAGTCGAGGTTCGTATCAGAGGAAGATGGCGGCTGGACTCCCATGGACCTCCAGAACAAGTCCTCCCGTGTTCTCTGAAGACCAGCTGTCCAAGGAGAAAGTCAAAGAAGAAATTAGCTCTTCTTGGATAGAGACACCCCCTTCCATCAAGTCTCTGGATTCCAATGATTCTGGGGTGTACACCAGTGCTTGTAAGCGAAGGCGACTGTCTCCTAGCACCTCTAGTAATGAAAATTCTCCCTCCATAAAGTGTGAGGACATTAACGCTGAAGAGTACAGTAAAGACACCTCAAAAGGCATGGGGGGGTACTATGCTTTTTACACAACTCCTTAAAGAGTTATTTTAACCTCGTAAAAATGAGCTAACTTGCGGCAGATGGACTTGGTGGTGTTTTTGTTGTTTTCTTTGCCTAGGTTGCCAAAAAGAAGTTTGCCTTCCACCTTGATGCATCCTGTTTTGTGCAATTCTCTAAAAGAAGGTGCCAAAGCTTTTTGATTGCTGCAGGTAACTGAAACAAACCTAGCAATTTTTTTTTCTTTTTAAAATAAAGTTAATAGAGGACCTTAATGTGTTTTAAAATTTGCAGGCTACTCAAAAGTTCTGGATTGATTTATTGGAGACACTAACCATTCAGAGATATCCAGGCTATGAAGTGCTGAGTGCTATCAAATTAGTTGAAAGCTTTGGCTCTTCATTTCTATTTGTAAATCCCTAAACAAATAGAAGCCCAGAGTTACAGTGGGCTTTTGCTTTTGAAAGAGAAGGGCTGGGCCGTAAGCTTCAACTAGGAATCTGCTGTTACCTTCAGCTAGGGACAGAAGACTTTAGGCCTGGGAGGCAAAAACTGACTTTTGTGAAGGTGCTGGTTTTCCCTGATTGCAGTGCCTCCCTGGCTTTTGAAATAAGCCATGCCGGCCCCAGTTCAGCATTGCCTCACTTGCTAGGCCTCTGCTATATGCAGGGGTGGCTCCTGAGACAGGAGTGGCCAAAGGAGGGAGCATTTCAAAAAAGAAAAAAGAATTAAAAATTGTACAGTTGTGTGTGCTTAGATACACTGTAGAATAAAGTGGAATATATTGTACAAATAGCCTACATAGGAATCTGACATTATGTAAATTGGTGCTTTGGCTTTGTAAAGAATTCGCAAATCACCTAACAGCTGCAGGGGCAGGGGGATAGTTTCTCTCATTATCCCACCACATTCGAGAATATTCTGTTTACTTCTTAGATAGTTGAGAATGTATTCAGCTACTCTGTACTAACTTGAAACGTGTTTAAGGAAAATTCCCATTTCATCCTCTTCCTTTGCCACCACTCCCACTACCCAACTTGGTGAGGTGAAGAAACTAAAACCTGATACCACAGCTCCTATAGGCTTTCTAGAGATCTTGAATTTTTATGTACAGTCTTAGTCATTTTTAATAAATGTGGTTCATTAAGGGAACAGGCATATAGCTCTGTATTCTGTACTATGGATTTTAATCTTTATTTTAAAGATCTTACTTTGCTTTCCTCTCCCAACATGAACTTGGTTCCCTCTCCCCCATCCCTCTTAAAATCTCCAACTGGACACTGTAGTGAGGGCTGGGATTTTTATCTTCTTTTTTTTCCTTGAAGACGAATGGGGTCATTTTCTCACCCCCTGGGTAGTATGGACAACGTGTACTGGGGGCTGAGGGTCTGGATTATGGGCACTGATGCCGCTGAGATGCAAGATTGTCAACCTCAGGCTTAATCCAAACCTGGAAAACATCCACCCCCTGCCCTCGGCTACTGAGTGGTGCCTTGGCGGGTGGCCACTTAGTTCACGGGGCTTTTCCTGGGCTGACTTGGGGCACCCATACCTGAAACCGGTGTGGGCTCCCCTGAAACCCCCGAGGCTCCTTAAACGCCCAAGAGCTCGGGCTCCCTGAGTTGTCACGGGCCGGGGAATCTCACTCCTCAAGCACCCCGGGGCAGTCCAAAATGGCGGCGGGGGGAGCTGGGGCGGGGGGCCGGCCCGGGCGGGGGGGGGGGGGGGGGCACCCGCAGCCCGGCTTCTGCTCCCACATGCGGCTTTCTTCTACATCGAGTCACTCGGGGTTACCCCTTTTCCGCAGGCAGCCCAGCCCGGTAGCTGCTCGCGGGTCTTCTCTACTTGTACCAAGCGCGGCCGGCGACTCTGGGTCTCAGGTTTGGGGCCCCCGGCCGGCGCGACCTTGACGAATGAGGACTCTAGGCGTCCCTCGCTTGTTCCCCTCCTGCAAACAACGGCCAGGAAATGATAAGCCTCAAGTTGAACTCCGTTTATTTGGCTCTCATTCTTGGGGAGGGAAAAGGCCTTCCCACCTCCGGGTGAGCCCTGGGCGCGCTGAGTTAAAGATTGGGGCGGGGGTCCTTTGTCCCCCTGCCAGACGTCCCGCCAGGCTTATCAGCAGACGGCTTCTGGCTCAGCTTGCAAACCTTCCCAGCCCCTTCCTGATCTTCCTGGGGTAAAGGTCTGGCTGGCCGGGAAGGTCATTCTGCAAGCTGCGTGACGCGGAAATGCAGCTGCTAAGAGGATTAGCTGCTGGGAGGCGAGCAATCAGCCGGGCCCCCCTCCCCTTCTGCGCCCAATTAGGGTCTCCATTCCCTCCACTCATTTTCCAGCCCGAGTTCTTTCCGCGTCCTCGGTGGCCGTGGGGACTCAGGCTGCACCCCCGCGTTTCCGACTGTGTCGGCTCACCACGCTTTGGCAAAGCCGCCCTGAATTTTACCCTGAAGAGAGAGGCAAAAGCTATGAAGATTTCGTTGATGTGTTTTTATTGTAACGACAGGTTCAGACTGAGGGGGGTGGGGGAGGATGCGTAGTCCCCCTGACCTGATCATGGCGTTCCCCTTCGCTGTCCGACCCCATGGAACCATCGCGCTTTGGGAGATGCAATGGAATCTCCAAACGCTCTCCTATTTTCTCCTATTCGGCCCTCCAGAAAGCCCGAATATGCTAATCACCGCCGGGATAAAGCCGACTCTAGCTCCAGTCTATTTAGAGTCCTGTATATTTTTGCACCGTACAGTAAAAAAGAACCTGGTACTTGTGAAAAGTCCCTCACAGTGTTTAATAGAAACGTAAGTGGCTGAGTGGCCCCAATTAACACCTTGTGATAAGGCATTCCTAAGATGGAGTGTCAGACACCAAATTGTGAAGAGATGTATCTAATTAATCCTCCTAGGATGACACCGATAAACAAGCCTCTATTTAAATAAAGATCAAGGGCTCGGCGCCCCGTTTGTTTACATTCTCCCCCAGGGTCCCAGCGTTTGCGACCGTGCAGGCGGCGTTCCCTGCGCTGGGTGGAGACACAGCTTGGGGTGGCGGGCGGGGGTTGGGGGGC